GTGGGATTTTGGGGGGTGGGGGGCGGATGGGTGGGGGGCTGGGAAATGGGGGGGGGGTGGGGGGTTTGCGGCTGACTGGGTGGGCCCAATGTGGCTGTCTCTCTGTATCCTCTCTTTGTATATCTTGTTTTTCTCTCTTATATCTCTGTATCTTCTCTCTCTCTTCCACTGGAAGTAAGTAAAATTATCATAAAATTATAAATTACCTAGGGTAACCCCAAAAAAACCCGACAAAAGGGTATACAGTGGGTCTGTGCCCCCATGCCCCGAAATTAATAATAATATAATAATCATTATTATTACAAAAATACAAAGTACTATATTAATATTATTTTATTTAAACATAATATAATAATCGGCCCCTCATTACTTACCTTAAAATATCTGTGTTTTAATTAGAGTGAGGGTGAGTAAACAAATTTTAAAAAATAAATGAGAGAGAGAAGGAAGTGAATGTTCACGATTATGTAAACAAACGTTGTTGTTGTTACCAGCCCCGACACGAATGGTTCCTGTTCACTGTCAAGCCGACCAGAAAAACATCTCATATTTGTTAATTTATATGTTATGTAGCATGTTTATTATATAATTTTGAAAAAAAATCAAAGATGGATTAAGCAAAATGTCTATATTAACGTTTTATACACATTTAATGAGCCTCAGTGATTATTATTGTTATCATTACTAATATGGCATCTTCAAGACCAAGTACACTCTTAATGAGTGGCTGAGACAGACAAGCAGACAGAAAGACAGACACACAGGTAGACAGACACTCAGGTAGACAGACAGAAAGACAGACACACAGGTAGACACAGACACAGGTAGACATAAAGACACACAGGTAGACAGACACAGGTAGACAGAAAGACACACAGGTAGACAGAAAGACAGACACACAGGTAGCCATAAAGACACACAGGTAGACAGAAAGACAGACACACAGGTAGACAGAAAGACAGACACACAGGTAGACAGAAAGACAGACACACAGAGATACACACAGATATACAGGCAGACAGATACAGACAGGTTTATGTGCAACAGTGAAAACAAACAGAGAGTTTGAGAGTAAGAGCCTTTCTTGTCACAATCTCCAGTGCAACATTCAGACTTCATCTTAGGGGCCATGGTGAAATTTACTGTCCAGTTAGTACAGTTAATACAGTATGATGCTGCTGATAGGACAGGGTTACTCAAACTGATGCTGCCTGCATGACATATTGCCGCCACGAGTATTGTCAATATACTGTACAGTGGTGTGCATCAGCCGGCCCAGCCCAGCTGCCAGATGCACGGTCACAAGTCGAGTGGACGTATGTCGAACAGGTCGTAAGTCAATAATATGTGACTAAAATAGGTGAAAATGTTCACCTGTCAATGTTTGTGCAGTTATTGTGTACTCACCTAATTGTACTCACCTAATTGTGGTTGCACTGGTCAAGACTCAGCTCCTGGCCCTGCCTCTTCACTGATTGCTACTAGGTCCTCACTCTCACTGCTCCATGTGTACCATACAACAAGTGTATACGTATATCCAAAACATGGCTTATATTGGTCTCACAGGCCATAAAAGTTACTTGAAAAATGAAATGTTAAAAAATAAAAGAAAAACATATGAAAAATAAACTATTTCCGCATGACCGGCAGTCGGCGATGTTGCCGTAAGTGGCTCATTTTCTGTCAACTTCACGCCTCCATATCTTGGTAAGTATTGATCACAAAAAAAAATTTTGGCCTATAATACTCACAAAAATATGCTTTATCATTTCATAAGAAAAAACAGTTTTTTTTCGAAAATTTTTCGACCCTGAGAACAAGTTTGGGAGAGGGCCTGTTGACCCTGAAAGGGTTAAAGATTTGGCTGATGTTCACCTGGAGTCTTGCAATGTCTTCAATGGAGAACACTGTCATGCAAATTCGGGTGTCATCTGCAAAGGAAGACACGGTGCTGTGGCTTACATCCCTGTCTATGTCAGATATGAGGATGAGGAACAGGATGGGAGCGAGTACTGTGCCTTGTGGAATAGAGCTTTCCACAGTAACTGCCTCAGACTTTACTCTGTTTACTACCACTCTTTGTGACATTTCACTGAGCAAAACGTTGCCACAATAAAATGTCACATTAGCTGCACTTGCGTCCTTTTACCTAATATACTATTAGTAATTCTACTAACATTAATACATACTCATTTGGTATGATAGTATCACTTGCCTGGGTAGTTGTTGTCTATCAACCTACTACCTATAACAAATTAGGTCAAAATTGAAAAAAAGGAGACATGATAACCTATAAGGTTGTAAAAGGATAGGAAAGAATAGGCACTTCTTGAAGTACACCTACCTTCAACAGTTATAACAGAAGCCACAAATATAAATTAAGGAAAAATGGAGACAAAGAGATTGTGGGAAATTTTTCTTTGTAAAATGTTGTAGAAGAATGTAATAAATTGAAAGAAGAGGTAGCATGAGATACAACCACTGAATATTGAAAATCCTGAAGCATTAAATTCAACCCATATCTCAACCCAACATGCATAAACACGCAGACATATACTATTTATTTATTTATTAATTTGAACATGATACACTGAAGTACAAAAAAAAAAAATACAGTGGTTAAGTGTAACATGCCAAACCCCCTTGTATGCAGGGCATTATGGGCAGGCTTAAAATTAACTTAAGATTAGCTAAGCAACGATATATTCAGTGGTAAACATTATTGTAAACAGATAACAATTTAACACAAATGAGTATTTCAAAGACAGGTCATATGGTCATTTACTGTGTTGCTGAGCATTCAGTAGAATGGAGTATTCTGTTAGGTAATGTAATTAAAAATAACAAAGTTTGATTGGGTCACAATCAATGAGATACAATTATTCAGTATCTAGGTAGTAGGTTGGTAGACAGCAACCGCCCAGGGAGGTACTACCGTCCTGCCAAGTGAGTGCAAAACAAAAGCCTGTAATTGTTTTACATGATGGTAGGATTGCTGGTGTCCTTTTTTTCTGTCTCATAAACATGCAAGATTTCAGGTACGTCTTGCTACTTCTACTTACACTTAGGTCACACTACACATGCATGTACAAGCATATATATGTATATATACACATCCCTCTGGGTTTTTTTTCTATTTTCTTTCTAGTTCTTGTTGTTGTTTATTTCCTCTTATCTCCATGGGGAAGTGGAACAAAATTCTTCCTCCGTAAGCCATGCGTGTTGTAAGAGGCGACTAAAATGCCAGGAGCAAGGGGCTAGTAACCCCTTCTCACGTATAAATTACTAAATTTAAAAAGAGAAACTTTCATTTTTCTTTTTGGGCCACCCTGCCTTGGTGGGATACGGCCGGTTTGTTGAAAAAAAAAAAAAAAATTATTCAGTATTTATTTAGTTGTGGGTGAGTAAGTGATTTTTAAGCAGAGACTTGAATTTATAAGCAGTGTTTCTTTTATATTCACAGGTAATGAATTCCAGATTTTTGGGCCTTTTATGTGCATTGAGTTTTTGCATAGCGTGAGATGGACACGAGGAACATCAAAGAGTGATCTGTGCCTTGTGTTATAGTCATGTGTTCTGATGAGGTTGGTAAGGAGACATTTGAGGGGAGGGTTTATATCCGAGGTAAGTGTTCTATGTATGTAGTAGGTACAATAATAAGTATGGATGTTTTGTATGGTGAGTAGGTTTAGAGTTTTGAATATTGGTGGAGTGTGCTGCCTGTAGTGGGAATTTGTTATCATTCTGACAGCAGCCTTTTGTTGGGTAATTAATGGTCTGAGATGGTTTATTGTTGTTGAGCCCCATGCACAAATTCCATAGGTGAGACAGGGGTAAATAAGAGAGTGATATAGGGCCAGGAGGGCTGACTGTGAACATAGTACCGTATCTTTGATAGTATGCCTACGGTTTTGGAAATTTTCTTGGAAATTTGTTGTATATGTGTTTGAAATTTGAGTCTATTATCAAGGTGGATTCCTAAGAATTTTCCCTCTGTTAGCTTTGTGATAGGTGATCCGTTTATCATTATGTTAAGAGACACATCTGTAGCTCTGTTACCAAACTGAATGACGTAGGTTTTGTCAATGTTGAGAGTAAGTTTGTTAGTCCTCATCCAGGTAGATATTTTCTGTAATTCGGTATTCACAGTATTAGCTAGCATGACTGGGCTCAGGTGAGAGAAGACGTATGTAGTGTCATCTGCAAATACTGTGGGTCTGAGTTGTTGCGATGCATTTGGAAGGTTATTCATGTAAACGAGAAAGAGAAGAGGGCCAAGGACACTTCCCTGTGGGACACCAACTGTAATTGGGTGTGCAGAAGAGTTTGCTCCATTTGTGTACACATATTGGCTTCTGTTGCTGAGGTATGACTTTAGGTAGTTGAGGGAGTGCCCTCTTATACCATAGTATGACAATTTTATGTGGAGCAAGTCATGGTCAACTGTATCAAAAGCTTTACGTAAATCAATGAAGATCCCCAGTGGGACTTCTTTTTTCTCTAGTGCAGTGTATATTTGTTTTAGGATGTGTATAATAGCATCATTCATAATTTTATTAGGCCTGAACCCAAACTGACAGGGGTTGAGTATGTTGTGGGAGATGAGGTAGGAATAGATTCGCTTATGAATTAATTTTTTGAAGATTTTAGAGAGAGGATGTAAGTTGGATATTGGCCTATAGTTATTCAAGTCTGTTTGGTCTCCTCCTTCATTGATCGGGGTGACCCTCGCCATTTTGAGAACTGTAGGGAAGGTAGAGGATTCAATGGATTTGTTAAAGAGTGTTGCAATGATTGGTGATAGCACTTGTGATGCTTTTTTGTATATAAAGGGTGGTAAGGTATTTAAATCTCCTGTCTTGTTTTTTAGTGTGTTGATAATAAGGGAGTCTTCTGTTGGGTTAGTCAGAGCTAGGAACAGTGTGTTCGGGTAGTTGCCAGTGAGGTAGTCACTGGGTGGGGTATTTGAGCTTGGGATTTTACTGACTATTGAAACTTACCTTAAACGTCTCCATTCTAGCCCGAAATTTAAAGATGTAGTTCTTAAAGGAAGAGGCTTCAAAAATTTTTTGAAATTCTCTAGGATTATCATCTTTCATCGAAGAGAGTTTCTCAGCTGAAACTTGAAGCAGTGTCTCAGCATGCTCTTGAAATACTGTGATACTCAGACTGTCTGTGAAGTCAGCAATATTGGTCTATTGGAGAGAGGAGAAAAATTATAAACTATTAATATAATTTTACTGGAAAAGTCATCTCACATTTAAATAATAAAACAGAGATTTGAGACAAAAAGTAAAACTGTACTGGCTAAACCAGTAACAATTAAATATTTTTTTATAGTAGTCCAGAACCTAACCTGCTGTATAAACAGGGCCTTACAGTAATCCAGAACCTTACCTGCTGTATAAGTGGGGCACTACAGAAATCCAGAACCTAACCTGTTGTATAAGTGGGACCCTACAGTAATCCAGAACTTGCCCTGCTGTATAAGTGGTGCCCTACAATAGTCCAGAACCTAACCTGCTGTATAAGTGGGGCCCTACATTAGTCCAGAGCCTAACCTGTTGTATAAGCAAGGCCCTACATTAGTCCAGTACCTAACCTGCTGTATAAGAAGGGCCCTACATTAGTTGAGAACCTAACCTGCTGTATAAGTGGGGCCTACTTCTGTAGGGCCCTGCTTATACAGCAGGTTAGGTTCTGGACTAATGTAGGGCCCTAATGTAGGTTACTGCTGAAGAGCAAAAATCACTGAAAAGTGAAACACAGACTTGTTTAACTGTCAAATGCATAAAAATGCTTGATAACATGATGAAACTATCATATATTAACCCTTTCAGGGTCGAAAGGCCCTCTCCTAAACTTGTTCTCAGGGTCGAAAATTTTTTGAAAAAAAAAAAAAAAAAAAAATCTTATGAAATGATAAGAGAACCTTTTCTGATCATAATGACACCAAAAATATGAAATTTGATGGAAATCTTATGGAATTATGCTCTCGCGAAGTTAGCGGTCTCGAAGATGTTTACGCACCGGCAATTTCGCCCACTTTGAGCCCGATTTTCGGCCAATTCCAATGTACCAGCTGACAAAAATCATAGCTATTTAGCTAGAACTCCACTTTTTCTATCGAATGAGTACAAGAAACCAACCACTTACCAATTTCAACTATCCAATAAAGTGGTCAGAAATTGGCAATTTTGCCAATTTCACACAAATTTCAAAAGATGTCAATTTCCAAATAGGGTCCAGAATAAACAAGACAGACATTCCTGGCACTAAAATAACATTTTCTCTATTCAACAGTCACGTCCTCAGGCCTCTCTTACATTAGTTTTGCTTTCCACTTTGAATTTTTATTCTCACAAAAAATAGAAGATTTACTGTTATGCAGACTACTGCATTAGTGTAGAAATAGTATAAATAATATCAGTGCACTTGTGAAAGAATATTAGACTCACCAGTTGAAGTGTATTGGACACATGGCATGATTTGTTTACTTTTGAACTTTGACAAAAATTGAACATTTCTGTTACTTTGAGCTCAATTTCAAGGTACTTTTCATTGTGAAACCAAACAAAAATCATCTCAATTTCTGTAATATGTCATCCATTCTATAAAATGATACCAGGAAAACTAGACTACAACCATACGAAAATACACTGCAGAATTGCTATTTTAAACCAAAAACACGGTCAGAGTTTTTTTTTCTCATTATGCACTGTGTGCTTCAGGACTTTTTTTATACTGTGCACACTGACCACATAGACCCATTCTTTCATATGTAGGCCTACCAGCTTTCTCTCGCTAGATTTGAAAGTGCTAGAATTTACGCATACTAGTAGGCACCAACCCTGGCGTGCAAGCTGTACTAGTACAGCACCAACCCTGAAAGGGTTAACCCTTTGACTGTTTTGGTCATATATATACATCTTACGTGCCACTGTTTCGGACGTATTTATATGCGTAAATTCTAACGGCTTCAAATCAAGCGGGAGAAAGCTGGTAGGCCTCCATGTGAGAGAATGGGTCTGTGTGGTCAGTGTGCACCACATAAAAAAAATCCTGCAGCACGCAGTGTATAATGAGAAAAAAAACTGACTGTTGTTTTGGATTAAAACGCCGACTTTGGGGTGTATTCTCGTATAGTATTTATTGTTGTATTCTTGTTTTCATGGTCTCACGTGATAAAATGGAAAACACATTACAGAAATAGAGATGATTTTGATTAGTTTCACGATGAAACGACCTTGAAATTCAGCTCAAAGTAGTGGAAATGTTCGATTTTTACCAATGTTCAGGAGTAAGCAGATCACACCACACGTCCAATACACGTCAACTGGGGAGTCTAATATTCTTTCACTAGTGCACTGATATTATTTATACCATTTTTACAATAATGCTGTAGTCTGCATAACAGTAAATTTTGTATTTTTTGTATGAATAAAAAATAAAAATAGAAAGCAATAGTAATATAATAGGGGCCTAGAGGTGTGACTAATTTACAGAGGATATGTTATTTTAGTGCCAAGAATGTCTACATTGTTTATTCTGGACCCTATTTTGAAATTGGCATCTTTTTTAATTTGCATGAAATTGGCCAAATTGCCAATTTCTGATCACTTTATTGGGTAGTTCAAACCGGTAAATGGGCGGTTTCTTGTACTCAATTGGCAGAAAAAATGGAGTTCTAAAGAAATAGCTATGAGTTTGGTCAACTGGAACAACGGAACTGGCCAAAAACAGGGTTCAAAGTTGGCAAAATTGCCGATGCATATATGCCGCCGAGACCGCTAACTTCGTGGTAGCGTAGTTCCATGAGTTTTTGACGAAATTTCGTACTTTTGGTGTCATTACCATTGGGAAAAGATTCTCTATCATTTCATAAGAAAAAATATTTATTGTTTTTTTAAATTTTGCGACACAGAATGACAGTTTCAGAAAGGGGCTAGACCTAAAAAAATAGATATACAGTACACACATTACTAAAAATATTTTCTTCCTAAGGTGATAGTGAGTTGTGAATGTATTTATTGTAGGAAGTCTGAATAAATGAAGAATGGGTATAATTGAAAATTGCTGCATTAGCAAAACACCGTAAAGCAGGGTTTGCCTGTACATGGCTTTAATAATTTTAAATCTCATCTGTCTCAAGATCCAAACAGCAATGGTACTTAGCCCTACAGAAAACTGTAGTACATTTATATCATAATAATAATATAGAAAACATCTGGTAATAAAAACTTTCTTTTTTCGTTTCACTGTCAGTTCCATAACATTACGGCTTGCAAGTCAGTGTAGGTCCCATAATATTACGCCAAAATTCTAGTGGCTTCAGATCTTGCTGGAGAAAGCTGGTAGACTGTGGAGAAATTTTCTCCGGGAGGGGGCATCAGCCCCCTTCAGCCTGGAGGGGCCCAGCCCTCTCAGAAGGGGCAAGCTTCTTGTTTACTGCTATATCAAGTAATTGATCCCAGATGCAGTATGAGCATGTGACACAGTCAAGCGGCCGCTGCTCCTTGCAAGAGTCCAATGTTGCAAGTAGTTTAGTTTAATAAGAGACAGTCCATCTCTTACCTTAGTAGGACAATTAAGGAAAATCCTGCTCCCACTTTATTACCATGGTAAAGATAGTGTACATTGTTGTCTAGGCTTAAGACAGCAAGAATCAAGCATTCTGCTTTGCTTCCTAGTGGAAGTTTGGCAAGGAAGCGAAATGTACTAGGTCAGCTTTTCTTTTATGTGCTAGGGGCACTGCGACGGCGTAGGAGGCTGTGAGGTCGGATTACTTTCACCCTACTGGGATTCACACTGACGCCAGGATAACCAACAAGGAACACTGATCTGTGCATTAGTGTGAACAAAGTGTCTCATGTTACATTGTTGTCCCTTATTACTTTGATAGTAAGGTTCTCACTACATGTTCTAGTGTAGGGGTAGCTTTTACATAAAGGCCTTATATGTCTAGGGTAATACTTACATTCCTGATTGATCATCTTCACTCTCTGAAATCCTTTCACAAGCCCTCTTCACAGGTTATTTAAACTACCTCTATAAAAAATATAACTGTATTCTAAATAGATATGTACAGAATATACAACTACAGCACTCACATATTCAAAACATAAGCCTGCACACCCCTTAGCTGTTCTTCTAAGACAGCCCACATGGTGGATCTGGACAAATTGCCCTTCTTTCTTCTAGACTATCTCTGGACTAACCAGTGTTTTGACACACTTTAGTCACGCTGGGTATGGTGGCCACAACTTAAGTTATAAAACTCACCCCAGGGGGCACACATAATGCCCAAAAAAATAGAAAGAAGGACCCAGAGTCCTACCAGCTTCAAGTCAACAAAAAGAGAGAGGGAGAGGGAGGAGCCTAGCTAAGCTCCTCCCACACCCACCAAAAACAAAAGACTGCTGCCAAGCACAATTCTCTAGTTACCACAATTCTACCACACCTTAATTTTACTTTTACAAAAGAAATACAACTTTATAAACTACTTATTTAAATTGTGTGTGTGTATGTCTATAGTATAACCTATTATATTGAGAAAAACAGGCTTGACTCAGCTGCCTTACAGCCATAAGGGTGATCTGCCCTTATGATATTTAAGCAATCTTGCCCCCAATAGTTCAATATAATTAGGTATTCCAGAGTAACTGTTACTTACATACATCAATGCGTGTTGGGTCCCAAAGTCCCATAACATCTCACAAAACACAATAAGCACTTACAGAGAAGTATGATCAACTTTAGTATTAAGATTGTGAATAAATGAACAAATATTGATGAGTAGTGTAACAACGAGTGTTATGATCCAACAGATTGTAGTGCGGCATTCTTCAAAGAGCACTATTCTTCAATCAAGTCAATGGATATCCGGGTGCAACTACAGGTCAGCTACAAATACCCAGGTAAGTTTATTGATTGTAACACTGATATGTCAGCTGTGCAGCGGATATCATGTTATGTTTATTACACTACCAATACCCGGTAAATTACAGGCCATCGAGCCTACAAAAGTAAGTTTTCCAATCAGCAATCAGTTACTGATATATGCTGACATAATACCCCCTAGGGGTAATTTATTTCCAATATACATCTTTTACAGCCCGTTGAGAAGTGGCTACGACAGCTCCTCAAGACCTCGCCTGCAGGGGCGGCTGTGTGGGCGAAAGCTGTCTATCAGGCT